TCAATAGTGATATTGAGGGTCTGTTTGGGGCGGTTGTAGTTGTTTGAAGAAGTTGTTGTAAAGTTATTGCAGAAGAAACTGTTTTTCAAAAAGTTTTGGTTGTTATTATAAATTTATTTTATTTTAAAATAATCAGATCACAGTTTTCTGGCAATTACCATATTTTAACAGCTCGGGTTAAAAAAAACAAAACAGATTTTTACCACAACTATTTTTAAAAGCAACAAGAAAATAATTTCTCCAAACAGAACTGTGGTGACAATCTGAAATGCAAAACAGACAGAAAGTTGTTCCAACTAAAGTGGGCAATAACAAGTGAAGATGGGGGTGAACAATGATAAACAAAGGGTGATAGTGGTGAGTGGTGTAAGATAGTTAGTGATGACAAACAAATAGTAATCAATGAGTGACGGTGGTGATTGGCTTGTTTTTTCTTATCCGGATTGAGAAAAGTGCTAGTTTTCCTTTGATTTGAATTTCACATAATATTGATGAATTTCAAATTCAAATTATATATGTATATATATATATATAGAGAGAGAGAGAGAGAGAGAGAGAGAGAGAGAGAGAGAGAGAGAGAGAGAGAGAGAGAGAGAGAGAGAGAGAGAGAGAGAGAGAGAGAGAGGATGTTCCAATCCACTACAAAAAAATACTTTACATTTAGTCTCCTTTAAACCAAACATTAAGAAAATCTTATCAATGAAAGTTTATTTCATGCAACACTTGTGATTCTTCACAAAATTACGTTGGTAGTTGTAGGAAAAGATTTTACATCTTTTTTTTTTTATGAAAAGAGTATATTTAACAGGGTTTTAATTATTGGGTTAAATAAATAGATTCATATCAATAAAAAGTGGGCATTTACAAAACACATCATACAATTTTAATGTATTTACATATCTGTCACATAAACATTCATATTTACATGCATACCACTCAAGTCTTTAACATCACATTAAAAGTGAAAAACATATTTTTATATATAAGTTTATGACTCCAAAATGTTATAAACATAAATATAAAAAATTGAGTGTCAGCTATGTAAATACATAAGCATTGTGGTATGCATGCAAATTTCCCCAAAATAGAGGGGTTTAAGATGTGCCAAAAATAATTATACCTATAATAAATTGATTTATTTATAATACTTTATTGTTTTCATCTCTTTGCATTTTACAATATATTTTATATTACACCTATCTAATGTTTAATATGATTCTCATGCATCTACATACCAAACACCTTAACTTTTCATATTTACATCTATAACACCTAAAATTTTAAAATCAGATCAAAATCCCCCAATTCTTATGTATTTATATATAAGCACATAAATTTTAATTTTAATAAGCATGTCATTTTATCTTTGCATGAAAATATATTTTTTATTATTTTAAAATTAAATATATGATATTTTTGTTTATGTAACATGAATGATTTGGGAAATATTAATATAAAAAAATTGAAAAATTTACATATCTTGTATGTAATTTTTATGCATTTACATATTTCACACATAAATTTTTATATTTATATATTTATCATTTTATTACTTTAAATATATGTATAAAAATGTGTATTTCATGTTTAAAATATGATAAGCATATTCTTTTTATGTGATTTTTGAGGGCAATGTGAGTAAATATGAAAGTTTATTCGTGTTATATGTAAACAATTAAGAATTGTGTGCAACTTATGTAAATGCCCCCTAAAATTTATGTGCTAGATATGTAAATACCTCGGAATTGGGTGATATTAACGTAAATGCCCACAAAGGAAAACCAGGCGCAAAGAACCTTCTGCTCTCGCTGACGCTATTCTTCTCCGTTGATTGTGCCTTCATGATCTTCATGAACCCTAAGACCTTCGGAAACTCAATTGTGTGAGCTCGTAGATCTTCTTTTCTAAGCGGGATGGATACGATGAAGAATCTGTTAAAGCCAAAGCCAAGCCCTCAACAGCAGCTCAGGGATTGGCAACGACGTTTACGCCAAGAATGCCGATACGTGGAGCGCCAGATTAGAGGCAACCCTCTTTCTCCTTTTACAGATGCACTAATTGGGATTCTTTATCGTATCCTTGTTTTTTTTTCTCTTTAATTTGGTTAATTAAATGGTGATCTATTTGCAGATGTGGAGCGGGAGGAATGTGCAGAAGGCTATTAAGGAAGCAGCGAAGCGGAACGACATGGCATCAGCTAAGGTTTGGTGTCCTGAGGTTCCTTTACCTTGTGATCGCGGAGTTTGTAAATAATTTGTGGATGAGAGCCTGCTATGATTTAATCTTGATTGCCAGTTATCTATTTTACTGATTTCTCATTGCTTTTGAGGTAGGTTTGATATGATGGATTTTGTTATAATTTGTGCCAAAGGATTTCTAAAAAGTAGAGTAAAAACTTTTGCTAAATAGTGTTAGACATCAGGTCGCAATACTCAGCAATGAAGGAAGAAGAATGATTCATAATATTTATCTCAACCAGTTGGGGTAACTCTACTGACAATGGAAAAGATGACAATGCACTGGAACTGAGAGGAAGTTTGCTGATACCTATTTCTTAGTTCCGTCTTCCTCTAGTTTGTGTACCTGTCTAAGTTCCCATACTTGTTCTAATGATTTGTAGAATTATTTAACATTCAAAAGTCTTGAGGAGAAAGGTTCGTTTTTTATAGTAGTATGGAAAAAAAAAACTTTATAACTTGTGCAAAACATAATTTTTAATTTGATTGTGGTGAGATTTAGGCAAGTGCTGACTTGAACGTCATTCAGAAAACTTATAGTTGAACTCAATTGCTGTGAGAGGGTTTGGTTACTACGTCAACTACCACTACACCATTACTTAACTAATCTACTTTTGTGAACTTATTTAAGATGAAGGATTTAGTTAGGCTTTGTAGCACGGACACTTCTAAAAATGCGTCGTACCCGTGTAGGACACAAACACTTGTCCAGTCAACCCCAACACCTGTCATACACTGCAACATATGTGCCTGAATTTTTTTCGGACCGATGTGTACTTGGAAACGTTCGGGGTCACCTCTACATTGCAACTTACATGGGCTCAACATGAGGGGCACGGGAAGCAGAAAATTATAAATATACAGCTATATCTATTTCTTAAGAAAAAATGAGAAGTATAAGATATATAAGTTAAGATAAATGAGATCTAGAGGCTATAATCAATAGAATCTCGAGGAAAGAAAAAAGTGATATTTTGAAAAATTATTATATGAGAGTTTCAATGAAGGATTATTATATGAAGGCTTAGTAGTGAATTTTATAAATCTACAATTAGACTAGCCTTCTTCTATGAATTCAAATGTTGGATGATAAAACTTACGATAAAATGAAAATGATAAGCGAGTTGCATGAAAAAATTAGCAAGGATAAAATGATAAATGATTATATTAGAGGGGTTTTGGCAATAGTTATTGTTGGAGATAGGTTACTAGAAAATAGATTTAATTTTTTTGGATGCGCAATGCAGAGTTGAAAATGCATCCATTACACATGCATATAAAGTTAAGGTCAAAGGATTAAAAAGAATAATGTATAGGACTAGGTTAATGTGGATAGAATTTCAAAAATATTCATGTAGAATAGGTTTAAAACATTATTGATGCTCAAGGGAAAGAATGAAAAATGTGAATTTAAAAAACTGACCTAAAAAATAGGATGATTGTAATAATGTTAATGATGGCGATGAAGAGGAAAATTTTAAGAGCATATGTATAGAATCATGAAATATGTGTAGATTTATCCATAAATATTATAAAATTATTGTTAAATTGGCTATATTATATAGCTTAGAGTGGGCAATGAAGAAGGCACCAAGTATAAAGTTGATTTTTATTGAAATCTGTATCTTAAGATGGATATGTTCTGAAACAAGAAAGGTAAAGAGAGCAATGAATATTTAAGAAAGATGTTGGAAGTACAATCTATTGAATATAATACTTAAAATGGATTCAGGCTGGTTGAGCATGTACACGGGAGAGAAGTAGATGCACCAATAAGGTGGTTGCGCAAAATTAATTTGAAAAAATGCCGACAGATTTATAAGTCAATCTCAGATAGTTAGTTTAAAGCTATTGATTATGTTGTTGATGGGCTTAATATCCCATAGGATAGGTGAAAACAATGAGGTTTAAGAAGTAATGGCTTGAAACTACTACTATTACGCTTAATCACGAAGTAATAAATTGGTAGGATTCTTATTAA